GCAAGGATGTCATTCACATCCAATAAGCCACTTACCGATGCAAGGAAGGCCACAGGTCAGAGGAAGACTCAGAGTTCGGGAGTTAGACGGACTGGGTTTAACTAGTGGTTCTGCAGCAGATGCATCGTTAGTTACTCAGCCTGAAAGAACCTCGGTTTGTTTATCTGAAAAATGGGCACCACAGTGTCTCCCTTACAGGGTTGTCATGAGACCAAGGAAGTGAGGAATGTAAAAGTGGCCTGAAATAAAACGTGGTGCCATTCACTCGGTGACCTCATTCTTGTAACCCCTGGTTGGCTGGATTTCTCCTGGAGGTGTCTAGGGTTGGACAAACCACAGAGGTCATGAATCCTCATTTTTGCTGGCCAGGAAAATGGGCACCAAAAGGGGAGTTCTGGGGTTTTATTTGGCCTTGCTCAACTCCCATCTCACGACCTAATTGCCTTCCCTGGGTCCTGCCCTCTGGTGTGGGATCTCAGCCTTAGTAGCCTGCCTGGGATCCCTAGAGCCTCCCAGACCCACCAGGGTGAGGCTCTATTCCCCAGGGCAAAGGAAGGGGAGTCTCGGAAGCAGTATTTACTGAGCACCTCAGGGCGCTCAGGTAGTGGCTCCCAGCCCTGGCTGCAGACGGAATCACCCAGGCAGCTTCATAAAACTGTGATGCCCAACCTGCCCCCAGCACCCCCACCCCACCAGCCAGCCAGTCTGGTTTAATGAACTCTAGACACAGCCAAGACAAGCACTGGTGATCTTTTAAAACTCCCCAGGAGATTCTAATGTGTAGCCCAGTTTGATAAACTCAGAACCAAATTACTATTTTGTTCGTTTTACAGATTAAATAAACTGTGAGGGCCCAGTAAGGCGGCCCACGCCTATAATCCCAGTGGCTCAGGAGGCTGGGGTAGGAGGATGGCAAGTTCAACACCAGCCTCAGCAACTTAGTGAGGCCCTAAGCAACTCAGCGAGACCCTGTCTCAAATGAAATATTTTAAAAAGGGCTGAGGATGTGGCTCAGTGGTTAAGCACCTCTGGGTTCAATCCCCGGTACAAAAAAAAAAAAAGAGAGAGACCCATGAGGTCAATGACTCCTTTAGGGCCTCCCAGTTGCTAAGGGATAGGGCCAGGGTACAAACCCTGGCAGGTCTGACTCCAGATCCTGGGGTCTTTCCACCCCCTTCCATTGGAGCCTTAAGGAAAAAGTGCTTATAATGGATTTAATTACTTAAATCTTATACTGAGATTTAAGATTTAACTACTTAAATCTGATACTTATATTGTGGCTCATTAAATTCTTTAAGGAAATACTTGTGGAGGCAGAAACCTTAAATCATAATTGTTGGGAGCCATGTGTCCAAAGTGATTAAGGAGGCAGCAGAGGAAATGGATCCAATACGCAGGCCTTCGATTTACAGGTGTCTTCTGGACATACCTGTGGGGCAAATCTCAGTGCCCTTGCCTCAGGGTCTGGTGTTGCCAGCCCTCGTTGTGACCACCTGGCACCAAGGTGAGGGTCAGTTCAGGGATGGCTGTGTTTAGCCAACATTTACTGAGCACTCAGCAAATGCCAGGCTTGGGGCTGGGCACCCTCTTCTGCATAAATCATAGCTCCTTCACATCCAACCCTCGCCGGCCCCTGCCCTGTGGCTCTCCATGTTGATTGGAAGTCTTGGGATTCCAGCTGGAGCCGCTGCGCTCCCAGGTGGCGCTTGGAGAAGACTCTGCTACCTCCAGCCATCAGCTCGGCACAGCCGGTGGAGGTGAAAGCCTGGCCCTCCGTGTCCTCCAAAAGCAATTAGAAATGCAAATAAGCCACACAATAATTACACACAAGTTTCAACTTCTCTTCCAGCCTCACCAACCACCTGTTACGAAATTAAAGGGGATTTATTTTTTAATTAATGTGACAGTAATTAGCAGAAAGTTCAGATTCTTAGAACGAGGCCTACACTTGGGAAGGTAGGCATGGAATAGAGTGCGATTTTATATTTCAAAAAGCTCCAAGGATGTTTGGGATTCTGCAAGCGTGCCTCTCTGCCTCCATGGTTACCAGCAGCTCTGTTTGGAACAGCCTCCGGTGCACATCTTAAAACCAAATGGGGCTGGCGGGTAGAGTGCAAGTGTTGGTCTCAGCAGGCCTCCATTTGAATCCCACATGGCTACTGGGTTGTGTGGCCTGGGAAAAGTTTCTTGACTTCTCTGAGCCCTAATTTCCCTTCAGAGATGATACTTATTTTTCCAACATTGTCATGAGATGGTTGAAGAAGAGTTAATGTCCCTCCACCAAAGTGCTATGCCCCTCTAACAACGTTTTTAAAATTTATTTATTTATTCTAATTTGTTATACATGACAGCAGAATGCATTTCAACTCGTAGTACATGTAATTTTTTCATGTCTCTGGTGGTAACAAGGTTGGTCACACCATTTGTGTCTTCATGCATATTCCTAGGGTAATGATGTCCGTCTCATTCCACCGTCTTTCCTACCCCCATGCCTGCTCCCTCCCCTTTGCCCTATCTAGAGTTCCTCCATTCCTCCCATGTTCCTCCCCACCCCCATTATGGATCAGCATCCACATATCAGAGAAAACATTCAGCGTTTGGGTTTTGGGGACTGGCTTACTTCACTTAGCATAATCTATCAACTCTTTAAAGAATAAAAAAAAATAATCCATCACTATGAAATAATTATATTGAATAAGAATATACAGAATCACATGGTCTGGGTTGGGTTTGCTGTTAGATCCTGGTTTTCCCAAGCTGTCTTGGTCCCATATCTCAGGCAATCTGGGACTGCCTGGTCACCTGGTTCCTGGGGAGCAGAGCCCGAGAAGCCATTTACTGTGGGAGATGTTCATAAAGGAGCATCCTTGGGGTCAATCCCAGAGGGGAAGGAAGAAGAGGAACAGGACAAGCTATTGTGTAACAAGAACTTTAGCCAAAACCGCAGGAGCTCAAGTCTCTTCGGCCCCTCAGAGTTACCCTAAGTTAGGCCAAGGTGATCTGGCCTCGGTAACTCCACATGCAGCAGTATTGGATGTGGGCTACCTTGGGAAGAGCTGGGTCCTCTCTCCAGTCCAGGAAATCTCTAGAGGTGCTGACACCAGAGTCCTCCGTCGACTCCAAGCCACGGCAACAGACCAGTCTTTCCCTGCAAGGGACATTCCTGTCCAGAAGATCAACCACAGGACCTGGGAAGCATAAATTCCACCAACTGTGAAAACACAGACCCTGCAGAAACTGTCACCAACATAGAAAACTGAACCCAAACATGACTGCACCCAGGAAGTCCTCACACACACACACACACCTTCCACCACCCACAGACCACAAGGTGTTCTTGAGTGTAGAGATCACAGCCAGCACTCAAAAAAAAAAAAAATCCTCTCAACTTCTCTCCCTTGCTCCCCCATGTAACTCTCCAGTTAGTATGGGTCCCCTCATCCCCATGTCATTGCTACCTTCTGTGTCATGCTCCTCCACACCAGGGCTGAGCGCCCACAACATGCTCACATGCACTGAAACACCACAGTAGCAAGTGGCTTGCAGAGACAACTGTCTTGTTCTTTTCTCCAAGATCAGTGCTCTGTGGCTCCCTGTGGGAAACCCAAGTCTCAAAAATAAGTCCAGACCTCTAAACCTGACGTTGAACCCTCCAGGATCCATGGGCCAGCTGCCCTCCCCAGCACTCTCTGCCACCTAGGTCTCCCTCCAGGATCCTCCATCTCTGCCTTTGTGGTTACCTCTTCCTCCCTCCAGCTTTGTTTTACTGTTTATATGAATCAGCTCATCCTTCCATGCAAAACTCAGAGCTACCCCCTCCTTGAAGCATCTCTGCTGCCCCAGTCTGCAGGGACCCCATCTCCAGTTGTGAAAAACCAAGCACCCAAAGCTCATGGCCTTGCAACATTAGACTCCTTTGTGAAGCCATGTGGACTCAGCTGAATCGTCACCTCTTTCTGTTTCCTGGCACTCCCTCCCCTGGACCAACTCCATCACACCTGGAATGACCTAGTAGTTGCTGAGAGCAAGTGCCCCAGAAGGAATTTCTGGGACTTGGAGGCTCTCTGAACTGCAGCTCCCTCCTCTGTAAACTAAAGATGAGGATAATAGGGTCTACTGCATGTTGCACCAAAGACAACGATAAAGGGGACATCGATGGTACAGGGGGATGGCCCAGAGGAAAGGACATTAAGTGCTACACCCTTAGTGAGTGTAGGTCCCCTCCTGCTTCTCCTGAAGCAGCAAAGGAGAAACAATATGCATTAAGCAACCTTTGTGTGTAGAGCACTTTACTTACATCTTGGCCTTGAGAATTATGACTTGACACACAGTCATTACTCCAAGATCATCATTAGAAATGAGAAAATCACAAAGAGAACTTGCTAAGGTCACATTGGAGTAAGTGGCAGACATTAAAGCAGGAATGACTTCATCGCTCTGATTAAAGAATTCTTTGTTCATCAATAAGAAACCCCAGGAACATGTGATTATTGGTAGAAGCCAGACAATGGTTCCCAAACGTATTCCAAGAAGAGAAGGAAGAGGAGCTGATCTAGGAAGATTTGGATATTCACTTGGAGGCAAGAGATCAAACATCCTGCCCCTTCCCATTCTGGAATGTTCCATGATTCTCCTTGTGATTCCCTAAACAGCAGGTAGGGCACTGTGCCCAAGAAATACACACCTGTACTGGGCAGGTGGTGGGAGGAATCTGTTGTCATGCTAGAAATTAAAATCCATTTTTCTTCAATTGCTGTCACTTCTCAGTAATTACCTGGATGCTAATGCCTCTGACGAAGGTTCCTCCAAGCCATAATTGAACTTTAATAAGGTGTGCGTGGAGTTAAAGGAAAACAAAATGGCAATCTGACGCTGAAATGTCAGGAAAGCTGTGTGTCAGCTGCCGCTGCCCTAAATTTTGAGTGAGAAATTCATTAATGTTGAGAGCTGTCACAGCTTTCTCAACATCGACGAGCATCCGAACTTATTAATGCAATTACCTTAAAATAATTAGCAAGCACCCAGTGCATGGCAGAACCTCACAAGAGGCATCTGGCATCGTGAAGGTCTCCAAGGAAATGCCATCAGGTTCGCTGGGTTGGTGCCTGCTCCTTCAAAACAGTGCTTTCCAAGGAAGGTAGAAAAGATGTAAAGAAGAAAGGAAGAAAAACAAGGAGGGGGAAATACAATACAGATGGCTAATTAAAACATGGATAAACTTTCCACCTCGCTATTGATCAAATAAACAGTCATCTGAACAACAATGAGATCCCATTTTTACTTAGCAAATTGGCAAAGTTTTTTTTGTTTGTTTGTTTGGTTTTGGTTTTTTTCAATTTTAAAGTGAACGCTTCTGGGACTGCAATGAGAAAGGCATTCTTTACTACGAATATAGGAATGTAAATCTGCATAAGCTCTGTGGAAGCACCTATCAAAACACATGCTTTCAGGGGCTGGGGTTGTAGCTCAGTGGTAGCACACTCGTCTGGCACATGTGAGGCACTGGGTTCGATCCTCAGCACCACATAAAAATAAATAAATAAGTAAAGGTATTGTGTCCATCTATAATTTTAAAAAAAATTTTTTGAACCTAGTACCTTGTGCATAAGAGGTCAGCACTCTGCCAACTGAGCTAGACCCCCAGCCCCCTAATTTTAAAAATATATATATTTTTAAAAACACATGCTTTCAGCCAGGTGCAGTGGTGCATACCTGTAATCTCAGCAACTTTGGAGTCCATGGCAGGAAAATTGCAAGTTCAAGGCCAACCTGGGCAACTTAGCAAGATCATGACTCAGAATACTAAAATAAAGCCAGTGGTACACACCTGTGACTCCAGCAGCTTGGGAGGCTAAACAGAGGAGGATTGCAAATTCAAAGCCATCTTCAGCAACTTAGCAAGATAGTAAGCAACTTAGCAAGACACTGTCTTTAAATATAATATAAAAAGGACTGGGATGTGGCTCAATGTTTAAGCAACCCTGGGTTCAATCTCCAGTAACCCCCCCCCAAAAAAATAAAAATAATAATAAAAGGGGCTGGGGATGTCTCTCAGTGGTAGAGTGCTTGTCTAGCATAATGTAGCCCTCAGTTCAATCCTCAGCACCACAAAAAAAAAACAACAAATAACAATAATACATGAGCTTTCATTTATCTGAATATTTATTAAGCACCTTCTGTGTATGAGGCTCTGTGCTAGTACCAGGGACACAGCAGTGTACCAGATATAGTCTTTTCACTCAAGGATGAGTAAGTAGCCAACTCAAGATCATTATGTAATGGGCATATACATTATGGCTGACCAATTGAATGGCAGAGTTTTGTAATGGCCAAAAGTTGTTTTTTAAAAACTATTTAATAATATATGAAAATGTGCTTTTTATTTAATGCTAAAAAAGTATAAAACCTCCAAAAATAAAGTCATCCCTTGATATCTATGAAGATTTGGTTCCAAGACCCTCCAAAGAAATCAAAATCAGAAAATGCTCAAGTCTCTCATATAAAATAGCATAATATTTGCATAGAACCTGTATACATCCTCCCACGTACTTTAAATTATCTCTAGGTTACCTATAATACCTAATCAGTGTATTTCATAGTACTTACTATGTAAATAGTCATTATACTGTATTCCTTAGAGACTAATGACAAGAAAAATTTGTACATGCTCAGTACCGATGCAATTTTTTCTAGTATCTTTGATCCACAGTTGATTGAATCTATGTCTGCAGAACCTGCAGACATGAATCACTGTAGGTGCTTAGGGAAAAAAAATAACTGGAAATACATCCAAAGGTTGTGATTATCATGATGGGTTGTGATTATAGTGAATTTTTATTTTCTCCTTTTATGTTTGGATATTTTCTATTTTTCTACAAAATAGCAATCTGAAACTGAAATGTCAGAAAAGCTGTTGTCAACTTTTATTTTATCTTTTATTATTGTTTTTGCAATAAAAATGCTATCAGCTACTATTGCTTGAGGGCTGAACAGGGTATTCTCTGAATGCTTCCTGACATGGTCATTGGATGCTCACCATAAAGCAGCACGGAAGGAACTGCTGTGACCTGTGTTTTGGAGATCAGAACACAAAGGTGGATTGAGGTCAAGCAGCACAGCCCTACAAGGGGGCAGAAATGGAGTTTGGATTGAGGCAGTTTAACCTCAGACCCTAGGATATTAATCACTATGCACTTCGGAGATGATGTGTTGCTATTTACGTGAACTTCAGCACAAGGAGATGGAACAAAGTCTGCGAAGTCCAGGGACTTTGATTTCAGTCCTGGCATTGTGACTTTGGACACTTGGTTTCCCCTTTCTGGATCCCAATTTAATTATCTAAGTAATAGTCTCTGCCCTGGCTGATGTGGAGAGCACGTGACCCATGTCAATATTTCTTTGAAGTTCTCAACAAACATAACATTATCTCCCTTCCACCCTGCGGGGCAGGTGAGCTGCTCAGCAGGCACCTTGTTAACTGTGTACATACTATATGCTGACAAGGAATTGTTCTTATAACTTCCATTAAGCTTGACTTTCTCATTGTCCTTGATGGAAGCCCTTGTTGGGTTCCCCTCTCTCAATCTCCCCACCTGTTCAGTGTGTCAGAGTGGCCTCCATGGTCTCCCAAATCTCCCCCACCTTGGACATTGCAGGACTCCAGGTGGATATAGAGGGCGATACATCCCCAGTCCTCCAGTCAATGATGAAAACCAGTATCCAACGCAGGCAGCTCTAACTCAGAGAAGTCCTTGGGTTGGAGCTGGATTCGGGTGCACAACCTCATCAGGAGCACTCAGAGGTGATGATGGATGTACCATGCTCCATAAATCTCAATCCCCTTTCTACCCCTGCCTGCAAGCTAAATTGGCTCTAGTCCCGGATTTCACTGTAGAGTGAGGTCATTTTGGCTCATTAGAAAAATCATTAACAGATCCTCCCTCAATTAAAACCTATGGTAGAAACAACAGAAAGATTACTTTGCCTCCTCTGTGCCGCTACACCACGATTTCCCCAGGACAATCCTGCTGTGTCTCATAAATGCAGAAATAAAAAAAATGACAGTGAATTGAAACTTGTTAGAGAACCCAGCACTTCCTCTGGCCCAAGCAGAGGTGTATATTAGTGTTATCAAAGTTGCAGTTGTTGCTATTCCATAAGACTACATCAGCCCACCTGTCTTTCTAGATTTAAACACCAGCTGAATTTGTGTGATACCTTTTATCGAACAGTGAGATTTGTTCTTCTTTTCAGACGTAGCTACCAGAAAATTGAAATCTGAATTCACAGTGCATGTTCAGTTACTAACTCAGCTCAAAGATTTGCTTCAAGTAGCTTCTCTCCTCTTATTTGCTTTTGAAATCTGCTCTCTTCTTTGGTAATTCTGATCGACCCCTTTATATGTTCTAAAATATTTGTATTTCCTCAGATTTTCTACAATGATAAAATTCTTGCTATCTATGTTATCCCTGTAATAGTCTCCACTTAGCCTATCATTATCCAGAAATGAGAGTTTGCCCAATCCTTACTATAAATGTGGGACAAAAATAAGCAAGTACATTTTCAGGGTGGGGTTCTTGGAAAGATATCAAGAAAATGAAAAGAGCAATGAAAAATAGAATGACCCAGTTTGATCCCTCAGTTGACATTAGTATGTGGGGGTGTCCCAGTTGGGGTTTGCTGTGAGCTGTGCCTCACCTCCGCCAGCGAAAATGAAGTAATAGGAGCTCCCAGGTAGTCTTGGTCCTCCCTCTAGTATATACCATATAGACTTCTAGGTGCTTCCAAATGCCTCCTCCCACTTCCTTCCTTCCCATACAGACCTCAGCTGTTCTTTGGAACCCAACTGTCAGAATTCAAGGTCCAGCAGATGACCCAGGTGAGATGTAATCTTCTGGCATGGAAGTCTACCACTTCCCGAGATATGGGCTTAACCTTGCATAGAACAATGTTCTTATCTTAGCCCAGTTCTGGCTATTTTCCTCTGAATCAGCTGCAAGTGTGGTGTCTCGGAACTGTGAGCTGAATGTCACCTATTCAGTGTCCAGATCACATCCGTGTCAGGCAGCCCTGCAGCCATCCAGTGGGCTTCAAGCCCAACCCTTGCACCTTGATTATAGGAGGTGGGCCATCTCCCTGGCCCTTCTCACCAAGGGACAATGATGCTTGAAAGAACCACAGTTTCCAGGATGAAAAAATGTCCAGTGATGTTCATTCATTCATTCATTCATTCATTCATTCAGCTGTCACATGGATAGTAGCTTTTCCTCTTTCCTCACTGCAGTGACTTTCAGGGATTAGTCACTGATCCCAAGGAGGTGGGATGGAAGTCAAGCTCCGGGTACCCATCTCTGTCGAGAAATGCAGCACTTGCCTGGGGACATTGAAGAATGTCTTTGAGACTAAATTAGAATCTGCTCAAGTGACGAAGACAGGAGACGCTAAGAGGAGGGCAGGTTTTGAGAGCACTGTTCATGCTGAACACTTTCTCCTCTGTCTGGCTCTGAGTCTCCACACACTCTGCTGCTGGACTGGCTAAGGCAGGCAGGCAAGGGGCTTCTAACCTTTCAGAGCCCAAATTCCTTCAACAGATCACCAGTGGGAGAAAGCACCCTCTGTAGATGTGTAAGCCCCAGAGGCTTGACTGGTAGGCTAACACCCTGATCAACCCAACCTTAAGTTGCAGAAGCCATGAATACACCAAATCTACCAAGCAGCAGAGGTGAGCCTACCTGAAATGTGTGCAGAATATGTGCATTCGCCTACAGCTGGGCAGAATCATCCAGCCCAAATTCTACTTTATGTTAAAGTGTTGGCTCTCTCACATAATTTATTGAATGGCTCTATCCACAAAAACAGGGACAGCACAGCAGACTGTGTTTATTGGTTGTTGACCCTCATGACCACGTGGCTGTCTGGGAGTGGGTAGTTCAATCACAGCTGCTACCCAGCATCACAAGAGAGCATTCTATTTCATATCACTAGCCCAGGTAGAAATCGGCATTCAAAATTCTAAGTAGGCTTCTCCTGACCGCGTATCACTTTCACACCATCGTCAAGTTAAAAAGCTGTAAGTCAAACCATCCTAAGTCAGGGACCTTGTGTACTTCAGTATTAGGGCGAAGAGAGTAGCCAGCGTTTATTAGCACCTACTCTATGCCAGGCCTTGGCTATCTTGTCATTGAATTCCCCTGACATCTTTATGAGTGAAAGATGATTCCTCCATCTTTTATAGGTAAAGACATTGAAAAATTCAAAAAATGTATGTTATATATTGTCAGGAATACAGAAACAGGCAAGGAAACTCAAATAGAGGCCCCTGGATCTGGGAAAAATTGTTACACATGTGTTAAAAGGCTGAAGGAGAAAACAGGGGTTGATGTTGAGCTAGCCTGGGAATTAGTAACCACAGGAAGTGCTCCCAGGTAGTCGAAGTCCTCCTCTAGGGCTGGGGGAAGAAAGAGAAAAAATGGTGCCAGCAGAATCTGATCAGAAAGTTCTGCCAGGCAGATGCTAAGCAGCTCATGCATGCAGCGAGATGCTAAGAAGGGAGGGGCACCCCAGAGGATGACATGCAAGGTGTGGCTGGTACTGCTGCTATGCTGGAAAAGCCAAAAAAAAAAACAAGGACCTGAGAGCTCCCAATATTGTCTGATGCTGGCATAATGTGGTCTCAAGGTGGAAGCTGATAGGTGGTTTACTCTCTGTCTCCTGCAAGACCACCACTTAGATCCACCAGTCCCTGGAAGGAGGCAGTCCCTGGATGATGTCATTTGCAGAGTCTTGATCCCAGCATCAAGAGAGGAAGGGTGAATTGGAAGCCAATAAACTGTATAAAGAGAAATGCTGTATATCACATCAGAAGGGAAGTCGGCCCAGAGTGGACCGATCACTTCCTCCTTTGGGTCTTACTACGCTCTGTGCATTATTCTCTCAACCCATCACCAGGCCCCTGCTGAACTTTTTGGTTTATATGTGGAAGAAAATGAAGAAGCCCCCCTGCTCCAGGACACCTCTCCCTGGCCATCAGGACCATGGACAGTGACATGCGTGCCCAGCAGACGGGCCAGATGCTTGGATCTGGCTACACCAACAGTTCAATGAGCTCACCATCTGCCATGGGTGAACCAGTTCTCACTTGGCCCCTGCTCTCTGCCAGGCCCTGTGCTAGCCCTGGAGATGGAGAGGAGAACAAGAGACATCCCTGGTTACCAGGGAATTTTTTGGCCTCATGAAATGAAGGCAATGCTTTGGGTCTCATTTATCCTGTGCTTTCCGATTTTTTTCCCCCATAGTATCTTCATAAGGATGAGTTTTCTGGGAGGGTAGGAATCTAGACACATGTCCTAAAGCTGCTACATTGTGCTATATTGATGCCTATATAGTGAGTGGCCCAGACCCACAGGCTCCATGAATTCTTGGGTCATTGCACACCTTCTTATGTAAGTGTGTCTCATCCTTCCTAGAGCAGCTTCTTTTTGTTCCACAGATTTGCACCTTGGAAACTATTCATCATTCACCTATGTATCCCCATGGTCTTCCTAATGACACAAATTATTAAACCTCTGCTTTTTAAATTAGGATTCTCTTGTTTGCACATAACAGAAAGTTAATTGTAGTTGGCTTGGGCAAAAGAAGAAATTTATTGAAAGAATGCTAGGTATCTCTCAGGGCTCAAGCACAACTGAGCTCTTAGTAGAACTGGAATCTGGATGGAGTGTCATAAGGAATACAGGCAGGATACCACCTTTTTCTGCTCTCAAACAATAATCACCACCACCAACTCTTCCTTCTCTTTCCTACACACACACACACACACACACACACACTCTCTCTCTCTCTCTCTCTCTCTCTCTTCTCTCTCCCCCCCCCACTCTGACTTCACAGAGGCAAGATGGAGCCACCAGTATTCCTGATGTTACAGTATAAAAAAGAAATCGAGTTCTCTCCAAATCTATTCTTAAAAAATTTATGGAAGGAACTGAGTGTCCCTGCTTGGTCTGAGTAAGTGGTCCAGGTGCCCACATTAAATCAGATACCTAAATCAAAAAAGCAGGATCCCTGGAGGGTAGTTAATAGGAAACTACTCCCATTTCCTGAGAACAGAAAGGGACTGGGAATCAAGTAGCATATTACACCAGACATAAACATTTCACTAAAGGATGACACCACATGGCATTTGGTGGTCCTGCACATTACTTGTTGCTACTCTTTAATATTATAAATAATTCTTCAGCTGTCATTGAACATATCTTTATGGATAAATCTCTTCCCCTGTTAGGATTTTTCCTTTTAATATACATTTCCCAAATGTGGAATACTAGCTTAGAGTTTAAGGGCCTTTTAAAAAAAATCATATTAAACAAATACACATATTTATTATATTATTGTTGCTAGGAAAGCTATTTTCTCTGTTGCTAGGAAATTGGTAGAGTAATCAGAGACCCATAGTCTGGAGATGACTTTTAACTGGCTCTGTGACCTTGAGCAGTTGTTCAGCCATCTGATCATTCTCTATTCTCCCCAAAATGGGCATGATCATAGTTTTCCTAACTGGTTTATTTGGAGAATCAGGGATAATGTATGAAAAGCAAAAGAAACTCTCACAGTACCTGGAATATACCTGTTTGAGAAACTGTACTTTTAAAGTAGTATTTAAATAGACTTCATGTGTAATAATTTCTTTAAATTCTGAGATTAATACTATTCAAATCAGAGGATTCCTACCTGTATAAAATGCAAAAGATCTTGACACATCCCAAGTCCAGTCTGTAGCTGTCACGAAATGAGATCCACCTGAGAGATCTAAATTGCAAGGCATATAAACTTTATTTGGATTGGCCAGCACACAAGAACTAGAAAAGGCTCAAATGTCTCAGCAACTGCAATTACTATCACCAGGTTGCAAGTTGGCAGGCTTTAGAGGCACCTGAAACAGATAGAACTAATTGCTTCCTCCTTTGACTCTCACTAGATTTTATGCATGCTATCATCTCATTACCAGGCCTTTTTAAGTTTGGGGGATTAAATTTGGAAGAAGATGAAGGGATTCCAGGGACCAGAAGGAACACCACCCTAGCCTTCAGGACCACGGACAGTGACATGCATGCCTGGTATGAGCAGAACCAGACACTTTGATCTGGCCATACCAACAGCTCAAGGAATTTACCATTGACAGGACAAGGAGTGCTCACCAAATCCAAAGGCACTGATGAATTCATACTAAGGGGTTATTGCTAGTACATTAAGATGTACAGCAAAATAATACATATTTTTAGAGAGACCCAAAGGCAGAAGTAGTTAGATCTACCCAAGTGGGGGCGTGGTCATGGAGCTGGATCTTGGAAGGTGGAGCCTGTGGATTAGGGAGGCCCTGAACATTCCAGGCAAGAGAAGCTCATACACAAAGCCCTGTTCCAGCTTCTTCTCTCTGATCTCTGTGTTCTCTCCAGACAGAGAGCCTGTTCTGCATCTCTGAGGACTTGTGGCTGCTCATGAACTGACCTGCCATGAGTCCAAATTCTCAGGGCAGGAGTCTAATCTTTTATTAAAAGGATACAGCTAGCCTTTGAAGGCAAAGAATGGATCTATAAATGTTCAGAAGAAACTGAGTGATAAGGGTGGATTCATCTCAGCATGCTGGCTCTTAACTCTAGCTGTATCTCTTTTATAACAACTGGATCCACTGGGTGGAAATTCTAACTCGAGACACCATGGAGGGCCCAGTTAATGATCTGGGTGTCCCACGTGTCTGAGCATATTCTCTCAAAGTCCGCTTTTGGAGTCTTCAACTTATCTCATTACCCTCACCGTTCCCAGGATAAGCCTGGCCATTTGCTTAGTCATCAACGTATTTGATTAATATGTACTGAGCTCCCAGAATATTCCAAGCACTGTGCAGACTGGTGAAGAGGCAACAGAGGCCAAACTCCCGGTCTTGACCCTCATGGGTTCCCAATCCAATAGAGGAGACAGAGTCATGTCAAGTCACATATAGATATTCACCACAAAAGTCTACAACCAGGTACTCTTTTATTTTGTAACAAATTGAAGATGTCTTTACTAATGTTCTGGACATTCCTCTCTGTTTCCAGACTTCGTGGGCACCCTGTATAACCACAGACTGTGTTAAGAAAAAGCGCCAGTCATTAAAAATTGAGGTTTAGTGAGGGTGAGGGACTTATCCATGGAAACATGGTTAGTTAATAGCAGAACTGGGGGGGGGGAACCTCCTATCCTAGCTCTTGCCCTCCAGCTCAGAGTATAAATTAAAGAACAGGAGTTGAGACCTCTGAAATGGGAATCATATCTTCTGGGAGCTACCACTGTCCCTTCAAGAGCCCCTTCACCTGACCTGGGAGCCAGATCCCTGTCCTTTGTCTTCTAGGAGGCCTGACCCCAACCCCAAAGTGTTTGGATGGAATCTGTAGCCACAGCTCTGGTACTAACCATTCCCTGGAGTTTAGCTTAAATCATGGGTATTTGCTCTGCACTTGAAGGAATGGAGGCCGCTGGGTGAGCATTTAGCAGGACATTTTATGCTGCTTTTCCTTGCCCGGAAAACCTACCCCTCCTTCTTCTCTCCAGTTTTCCCCCTGAGCAGGATATAAATTATTTTAACTATCTTTACTTAAAAGCCAACAACCTGGAAAGGAAAGCTGGTTTGCCTGCTGGGTTTGGGGGGTGTTTTTTTTTTTTTTTAATGCTTACAAAGCAAACAGCAGAGCTCCTAGGACAATAGGATCCCTGTGAATGGGAGAAAAGGGACACCCTAGACGATCTCTAGGGCAAAGGCCACACTAGTTCACTCTTGGAGAGAAGTTCCTAAGTCTGGTGGTGGAGACCTAGCATTTATTTCTAGTCTGGTAGGGACAGCACCGTCCTGCCCCAGTGGGCATCCAAGGAAGAGGCACCACCACCCTGCCCTAGAGAGTCCTTCTCTGATGGGAGAAGAACATCTTAGCCATAAAGAAAGTTCTTAACCTGATGAAAGAGGCATGATTCTGTCCTGGGGGAGACCCAAGTCCAGTGGATGGCAAGTGACTCTCTCTCTCTCTCTTTGTAGATGAAGAGTTACAACCTGGAGCTACTGCCAAGCTCACCACAGAGTTCTATGACCATGGGACTCTGCAGGAGTCACTAGGCTGTTCTGCTCAAGCTGTGTAGCCCCCATCCAGGGTGGAGGTTATCCCACCTCGCCACGGTCTCTTTGGCTCTGCCCTGAGACCTAGAGTGTGCCCCATTCACTAGGGACAGCACTGGTTGGGTCGAACAGCCAGCCCAGCACATGTTTAACAATGCAGTCCTCAGAGAGGAGGCGACTTTACTAACCCTGCACAGAGAGCAGTGGCTTTTACTCAGGATAAGGCTGGGACTATCAGGAATTCAGCAAAGGTCTTGTAGTTGTGGCCAGACTCTCCAAATCAGGTTCCCCCCCCCATGGGTCTCAGTCCAAGCACAGCAGGTAAAGTGACCCCCACCTTCAGTCTCTGGCCCCTCGCACGCAAAGAAGTAGCTTTTCAAAAACCCATTCAATGTGGCAGCTACTTTACATAACTTAGCTTATTTTCTGTAATCCTAATCACAGCCCTGAGATAATTGCTGTAATTCCCATTATAGAGAGAACAATGAAGTTTGCAGAGTTAGACAATTTACCCCCAGGTCACAGAGATTGTCAGTAGCAGAACAGGGATTTAAACACTTGTGCAATTCTAAAGCTCCTGTTTTCTCCACTGCATATGATGCCTCCCCTGGAACTGAGGAGAGACAGGGAAGCCACTCAGATGCTAGGCACAGAGCACTCTTCAGAGCATGCTCAGTGGGCCAAGAACTGAGAGGTGAGTGTCCAAGCTGGGGGCACTGGGTGTAATAAAATAAACCAGAAGTCTTTAGACTTCAGGACTCCTAAGAATCACCTGAGAGGCACATATAGAGCCCCAGTGACTGAGCTTCACCATCAGAGAGTTGAGCATCTCTGGGCCAGACCCAGGAATGTGTTATTTTTTATTTTTTTCGTTTTCTAACTTTATTGAGCATAATCATCAGAAGGGGTGTATTTTACTTTTTTTAATTTTACCATTAGGCTGTTAAAAAAATAAGAAAGATTTTCTTCTTGTTCTAATTAGTTATATATGACAGTAGAATGCATTTTGACACATCATACTTAAATGGAGTCTAACTTCTCATCTAGTTGTACAAGTTACATAAATCATGTAATCATACATGCACAATAGGGTAATAATGTCCAATTCATTCTACTATCATTCCAGTCCCCATGTCCGGCCCTCAATCACCTCTGTCTAGACCAAAATACCTCTATCCCCCATTGTGAATTAGCATCCATGCATCAGAGAAAACATTGGACCTTTGGTGCTCTGGAATTGGCTTATTCAGGAACGTGCATTTTATCACCATCTGCAGACAGTCCTCAAGCAGCCAGCCCACAGAAGACATTGAACATCCAACCAACACTTTATACAAGCCCTGACGTCATCCTTGACATCATCCTTTGTGTCATCCTTTGTGAATGCACGCACGTACCTCATCCCAAGTAATGCTTCTTACAAACCCAGCAAGTCAGTGTTTCGAGACCTTCAGTTCCTTTTTGACGACTGAATCTCCAGACCATTCAAGGGCTGGAAGGACGCAGCAGGTGGTGGCAGGGCCAGGGCTGACTTCCATTCGTCCTGCCCCCAGGTCTGCCCTCTCTTCAGCATGCAGCCTCACCTCTGCATGGGAGATGGAGGGAAGAGGACAGGTATTCCTCAAGATGTGGCCATGGGGAGGGTGTTTGGGGATGGGCCTTTGAGACCAAGGGCCAGTCCGTGGGGCCTGCAGGAAGAGACAGGATGCTGCAGAGGAGGAAGAGAACTGTGGCAGCATAAGCCATGAGCCAGGAAGGAGTGAGGCTGAGGGCCAGAGAAACTCCAGTAGCCCAGGAGAGAGATTCTGGAGACTTGCCCGGGGCTGCAACTGAAATGATAGGAGACAACCTCAAGAAAAGAGTTATGGGAGGTGTGTTGTGTTGCATACAACAGTCCCCAGCTAATTATTGCATGAGCAAAAACAGAAGCCTATTTAACAACTTACTGGCCAGAGTCAGGGACAGAACACACTTAAAAGTTCTCCCAAGAAAATTAATTTGGGCAGCAGAGAAAGGACAGAACTGGAGGGAGTTCTGTCCTCCTCCCAGGGAGGAGAGGGCTGGACTCAAAGAGGTCTGCAAGGCAAGGCCAAGGTAAAGTTGGTGCCCAAGGAAAAGTGTGTTATCAGTGTATAAATAGTCACAAAGTCAGGGAAAGCTGTCATCGCTGGCAGCCTCAGAATCCAAGGCAAGAGATAGCAAGAAACTTTGAGCAGACTTGCAGGCAGACGTCATAGACAGTTAGAGTGGAAGGAACCTTAGGAAATGCCAAGTCTGACGTCCTCTCTTTAGGGATGGGGAAACTGAGGCCCTGGACATGTAAAGCGACCTGCCCCAAGTCACACCCCTGGGGATCAGTTCCCGAAACTTCTGGTTCCAGATCCACGCTCCTTCCCACCCACCAAGCAAGGACCTCTCCCCCAACAACCCCACTGCCCCCCCTGACTAAATATTATCTGATCCTTGACTTGAAGACAGAAGAGACAGCTAACTAAAGTATGCAATCTTTAAATGTCAGTTCAGAATAGCATATTAACATAATCCCCAGATGGAGGCATTAGCATTTGTACTCTCTATATTGCCTGCTGGAACTTGCTGACATGTCTAAAATCAAAAATGTTACTACTGCCCAAGGTGGCAGGGAGCCATCCAAGGAATACAGGGAGGATAGAGGAAAAACCTGGGCATCATAGGCTGAAGGCAGGAGAGCACAGGGAAATTGCAGGATATTTTTCTTTTATTTTTTATTTGCTCTTTTTTTTTTAGATCTACATGACCGTAGAGTGCATTTTGACATACATACACGGAGTATGACTTATTCTAACCGGGATCCCATTCTTGTGGTTGTACATAATGTGGAGTTTCACCGGTGGTGCATTCATCTAAGAACGTAGGAAAGTTATGTCCAATTCATTCTACTGTCTTTCCTATTCCCAACCCCCTCCCTTCCCTTCATTCCCCTTTTGTCTTATCCCATGAACTTCTAGTCTTCCCTCCCTCCACTTGTTGTGAATTAACATCTGCATATCAGAGAGAACATTCAGCCTTTGTTTTGGGGGAGTTGGCTTATTTCACTCAGTAGGATAGTTGCCAGATCCATCCATTTACCAACAAATGACATGATTTCATTCTTCTTTATGGCTGAGTAATACTTTGTCGTGTATCTGTACCACATTTTCTTTACCCATTCATCTTTTGAAGGGCACCTACGTTGGTCCCATAGCTTAGCTCTTGTGAATTGAGCTGCTATCAACATTGATATGGCTGCCTCACTGTGGTATGCAGATTTTAAGTCCTTTGGGTATAGAAGAAGGAGTGGGATAACTGGGCCAAATGGTGGTTCCCATTCCTAATTTTCTGAGGAATCTCCATTCTGCTTTCCAGAGTGGTTGCACTGATTAGCAGTCCTGCCAGCAATGTATGAGTGTGCCTTTTCCCCCCACATCCTCACCAACACTTATTGTTGCTGTGTTCTTGGTAATTGCCATTCTGACTGGAGTGAGATGGAAACTCAGTGTAGTTTTAATTTGCATTTCTCTAATTGCTAGAGATGTTGAACATGTTTTCACATATTTGTTGACCATTCATATTTCTGTGAAGTGCCTGTTAAGTTCCTTTGCCCATTCATTGTTTGAGTTATTTGTTTTTTTTTTTTTTTTAGTGTTAAATTTTTTGAGTTCTTTATATATCCTGGAAATGAATACTCTGAGACACAGGTGGTAAAGATTTTCTCCCATTCTGTAGGCTCTCTCTTCATATTGATTGTTTCCTTTGCTGTGGAGAAGCCTTTTAGTTTGATACCATCCCATTTACTGATTCTTGATTTTACTTCCTACACTTTAGGAGTCTTGTTGCGGAAGTCAGTTCCTAGGCCAACATGATGCAGTGTTGAGCTGACATTTTCTTCTGGTACACTCAGGTTCTCTGGTATAATGCCTAGGTCCTTGATCCACTTTGAGTTGAGTTTTATGCAGGGTGGGAGACAGGGGTTAAACTTCACTCTATTACATATGGATTTCCAGTTTTCCCAGCAACATTTGTTGAACAGGCTGTCTTTTCTCCAATGTATGTTTGTGGTACCTTTGTCTAGCATGAGATAACTGCATTTCCATGAGTTTGTCTCTGGGTCTCCTGTTCTGTTCCATTGGTCTTCGTGTCTATTTTGTTGACAATGCCATGCTGTTTTTGTTACTATAGCTCTGTAGTATAATTTGAGGTCTGGTATTGTGAACCCTCCTGCTTCACTTTTCTTGCTAAGGAAATCACCAGGGCATTTTTTCTCATCAGGACCATGCTCAGATTCATAGCAAGAGGAAATTCTCTTGGTTGAGGAGGCCAGAATGAATTCTCACAAGAAGTGTGCATTGTGATTTGGGTTCTGCTCTGAAATTGATGAGTGATGTTGGGAAAGTCCCTTTGCCTCTCTGGTCCTCAGCTTTCCTTATAATCTAAAATTAGGGTTTGGGGTTAGATGATCCTACTAGGGCTCCTTTACCTTCACCTTCCACATTCTCATTATGCATCTCTGTGTGGGTCCCTTAGGATGCCAGGGAAGCTCCTGAGGCACAGACTCATAAAAGGGCCATTCGGCATGTGCTGGCCACCCTGACTCACCCCTCATTCCTCACTGTCGCTTTTTGCCTAAAGCATGCCTCGGACTTACCAGCCTCGGTCTTGGCTACTCTGAACAAGAATTCTGGCTCTCCTGGTGCTCGACATCTTGGATAACCTCCTTCCAGAACCCTCTGACCCCTACCTTTCTCTGTGCCTCTGCCCTGTAGCAAGTCCCAGGCCCTAGTCTATGAGACATTTGGAGATTACTTTAGTGCACAGGAGTTCTGGGTATCCCAGGAAAATCTGCTGGAGGAAACATTTTGGGTTCACCCAGTCCTGTTCCTCTTCCACCACGGTAGTTCAGACAGTCTGCCTGTTAGGGCCAGAGAGAGTGGAAAAGGATAAATATGGGAAAATATATTAGGATCAACTCGTGGAGGGATTTTTGTCCTTTATCATCTCAGCCACTGCTTCCTAAAGAGATGTCTGTGGACACACAGTAGGATTGGGAGGTCAAGTCGGGTAAGGAACTGGTGGTAAGCACTGTAGGTACTCTGTCTGTATTGCTTTATTCCTAATGTCACGTACTTCCTGAAACACCTGGGACTTCCTGCCTGAGACAGCATCTACTGGTCACAGAGACTGTCAAGGCAGGAGCCCTGGGCAGGCTGGACGCTCTGGAGTGTCAACCCTCTAGGAACAGCCCTCAACCCGCATTAAGCAGGAGCAAGCCAATGAAGGCCCAGCTTCCTCCCGACTCCTCCAGGATTTTCCACCATCTCTCAGAAGCCCCTGCAGGATGGAGTTCATCTTCCACAGCAGGAACTCTCTCTCGGAATGCCCTCTCTGGATACCTTCCCTCCCCTGCCTCACCTATATGCTCCCCTACCTATATGCCTCCTGAAGTCACCTCCCAAACATACCGCTGCCCTTCAACCCTAGTTTCTGGGGGGATCCAACCTGAGACAGAAACTCGTCCTCCTGTGGAAATTCACAAAGCACATGGATATATTAAAAGTTCCAAGAAGTCCTGCAAGAAAGAAACTTTAACTGTGTTTAGCTGAGCATCTTGAAACGAATTTGACCAACCGTCTTTTCCCCTGTAAGCATCTCATAGAAATAGTGTTGGGTGGGGGGACACTTTGGAAAATGCTGTGCGAACAAGTAAGCAAGAGCAAAGCCACAGCTTGCTTTAAGAAAAGCCCCGTGAGAAGTGGCTTGCCTGTATTAGAACAATTGTTGTTATCAGTACCAGCTACATCTCTCTCTCAGAGATGTAGATTGTCACAGCAACCCTGTGATGACAGACAGGGACAGTATTGTTACTGTCACTTTACATATGAGGAAACTGAAACTTAGAGAGACTGAGAAATTTGCCCCAAATTATACAGCTAATAAATGGCAGACTAGGGACTACTAACTCCGTATCCCTCTTACAATGAGTTTCCTCCTTAGCAGTGGGTCTGGAGACAGAATCCATGTTTCCATCATCCTAATCCATAGTTTCTCCATCTGCCTGCAATGAGGGCCAGCCACAGCCTCCCGGGTGTTTCTGAGGGTGAATGGTGGTTATGTGAGCTCAGGGGAAGTGACAGGAAAGGAGAGCAGCTAAGGGTCATGCATGCTCTCTGGGCACTTTGTCCCTTGTCCTGATTCAGGTGCCCTGACAACTTTACTTCTCTGTTCTCATTACCCCCCCCCACACACACACACCAAATCCCATTAGCTATCTTTATTTCCGAGGAAGTTTTCCAGGACCTAGAGACTTAGCCAGAGGCTTCCCTCACACAGAATACACACGTGCATCTTGATTCATGCACATATGTTCATAGATATTCAGGCATGAATACACTGATATTCAAGCAGCGTGGGTTTACCTGCATTCACATAACATTTGATTCACTTTATTGATGATATCTGTTACGATGTCTGTCTTCTCTTTTAGACTTCTGGAATGTAAAACCCATAAAGGGGATGGACTAAAATGGTCTCTTTCACCCCAAGAACCCCAGAGGCAAATTCAGTGCCCAGCATTCAATAGATGCTCAATAAAAATGTCTGGAATAAATGGGTGAATTGATACATAAATCTGCAAACTGCACTCATATATATGTACCAAACAATAGTGTGCACATGCACACATATGTGTGTGTACACACCTGATATATATATATATATATATATACATACACACAAACACACACACACACACACACACACACACATTCACACACACGCTCCCCCAGATCTCAAACTCCTCATCAGAGTCCAAGGTCAGAAAATGGACAGCACATCGGCTGACATGAATCTCTTGGATGGGATCCAGAGAGCCCCCTGGCAGCCATTACTTTGCTATCAGTCTATCTGTCCCATTTATAGTTGAAATAAAATGTGTCACAGCTGCTTCACCAGAGACCAATGTGGACGTGGAGGAAAATGGAGAAATATCGGCCCAGCTTGCATTCTGGCTCACTGGCTTGGGGGAACTTAAGGCATAAACGAGTTTGGACTTAATTGACTTTTTTATTGGGCTTTAATTCACTGGTACTTTTCCAGAGACTGACTCCAACAGGCAGATGCAGAGTTGAGCAGCCTCTGGGGGCTCCCAGCCCCCTCACCTCTTTCCTGTGCCCTCAGCCTGTTCTGAACCCCTATTATAGACAGGACCACCCTCAGCCCCATGGGCCCTGAGGAAGTCAGCCATGGATGCTTGTCTCCAGTGTCCAGCCACCATCTTTTGCCCCTCCCCAGCAAAGACATCTCCATTCCATACAGTAACATGGACAGAGAACAGGCCATGCACCTGTACGGGGTGCTGGGCTACAGAGATGAACAAGAAGGAATCTTTGCCTTCTGGGAACCTGGAATCAAACACAGACACATAAATTCTTCTGCATAATAGATGCCAAAAATTAACCTGGAAAGTAAGACCAGAGAGGTATATAGTCAGCCACAGTGATTCGGGCAAAGCTACCCAAATGGGGCCCCCACTGCCTCTTGATGGGGGAAAGAGTCTGCCAGGCAAGGACCTCCTGGGAAGGGTATCCCTGGCAGGCAGAACAGCAGGGGCAAAGATATAGAAGGATGAGAGAGTCTGGAATGTTCCGGGAGCTTGCC